TTTTCTTAAAAACTTTGTTTTAAATCTTCAATTCTAAATTTGGTGTCTCTAGACACAGTATAAGATTATGTATTTTAGTTTGGATCTAAATTATTGCAATCATTTGATACAGGTTCTATTAACTAAAACTTTGATAAAATAGTCGTCAAGTAGTGATACAGCAATTGGAAAAAAAAAAAAAAAAAAAAAAAAAAAGGTACTAGTAATATTTTGCAAAATTTTAAGCGTAATAAATAATTATAATTATTGATAAAAAAAAAATCCTACTCGGTAATATATAGGAATCTTTTACGTTGGTAATATGGGTTTATCCGTAATAAAGATGAACTTATAAGCTATAAGAATGGGAAGGACGATTAGACTAATGATATTTTGCCTGTTCTTTGCCGAAATGATATTTTCTCTTGTGCAATTCTAAAAAAGCATTTGGTCATCCTTTAAAATACATACTTAAATAGTTAGTGTAAAAAAATGGAAAGTTGATTCTCAAATTTTAACATCTTAGTCTTGTCTTAAAATAGTATTCAAATCTAAGCAAGTGTCTTGTATTTTGATCAATCGTCATCAAAAAAATTTAGGTACGTGGAAAGTAAAATTGATACCTAAAGAGACACTATAAACAGAACGTGTATCCACTTGCCATAACTGTATTGTATATGATCTCAGGATATCTATGTAAGAATTGCATAGGTATTGTTATACGTAAAATTGCAACATATATAATATAAATATGCCGGTGCCTAGTGTTGGAAATAGTAAAGCAAACGGATGACTCGTGCCCGATCGGGCGAAGGTGGTCAAGGAAAAATGGAACTCTCGCGTCCAATCGGGCGGCTTTGCCCGACCGGGCGGCGGACAAGAGTTTTTCTACGAGATCTCTCGCGCCCGATCGGGCGGGCTTCTCCCGACCGGGCGGCGGACTCAAGTTTTTGACGAGCCCGATCGGGCGGCTTCGCCCGATGGCTCGCCCGGAATGGGGATTTCAGATCGCCCGACCGGGTGCGACACTACGTCTAGAAAAACCTGATCTCGCGCCCGATCGGGCGGAAGCTCGCCCGATCGGGCCCGCCTTTTTTCCTAGGTCGGTTTGATTACGTGTTTCCTTTTCTAGGACTCATATAAATACGAGTCTTACCTTTTCGTGACATTTTTTCACTTTTCTAGCCGAAAACACAAACCTACCTTTTGAGATCTGAACAGTTCTTGAGCAATTCCACTCTTCGAGTTTGGGTGCACGGATTACGGAGAGAGTTGCGTTAAACTTGGGGGGCGTGCGTCACTAGGAAACTTGTACTGGTGGTGGTGTATTTCGTTTCTAAGGCAGTGGATTATTGTTCCACGGCGCGACTGTGAGTTTTGGGATCTTCAATCCAGGAAAGTTCTAATCTTTTATTGTTTGTTATTGATTTCAACAGTTATTTTACCTACAATTTAGAAGCAATATAGAATTTGATTTATTCTGTTGATATCATGACTAGCAATTCTCAAACTCGTCTATACCTAGATCTGTCTAAGGTTGAGTTTCTTGATGGAATTAATTATAAGAGATGGTCACAAAGGATGTTGACTGATTTTGAACAAGTAGAGATTGATTATGTTTTGTTTAGGGATGCTCCAAAACCCATTGAGCAAACCAATACCACGATTGAAATTCCTAGTACTCCTGCTCCTGGGAATAAAGAATCTAGTTCTAGTCAAAGGATCACTACTATTATTACTAATGAATCTGAAATCAAGAAATTTGATCGTGATAATAAATTCGTTAGAGGTCATCTTTTGAACAGCATGAAAAACAACATTTTTGATTTGTATGTCAATATAAAATCTGCTAAAGAGATGTGGGAGTCTTTAGAGAAGAAATATGGTGCTGATGATGCTGGGAAAAAGAAGTATGTGACTGGAAATTGGTTGATACAAAGCCTATTATGGACCAAGTCCATGTGTATGAAAATTATGTTGCTGAAATTCTTGCTCAGGGTATGAAGATGTGTGAAATCCTTCAGGCTAATGTCTTGATTGAAAAATTGCCTGATTCCTGGTCTGATTATAGAAATCACCTCAAGCATAAAAAGAGGGATCTAACCCTAGAAGAACTTGTGATCCACATGAAGATTGAGGAAGCCAATAAGCTTAAGGATGTTTCCTCTAAGCATAAAAATGTGTTAGCAATCAAGGCTAACCTTGTTGAATCTGGTGCTGACTTTGACAAGAAAGCAAGTGATAATCGTGCTAAGAAGGGGAACTCTGAGAAGAAGGGAAATCTCCAAGCTAAGGGCAAGATTGGGAAGAAAGTCACTGGCAAGTGTTGGTCATGTGGTGAAGTGGGGCACTTTGCTTCACAGTGCAAAAACAAGAAGAAGAAAAATCTGAAATCGAGTGGAGGAATCAAGGGTCATGCTCATCTGGTTGAGAATGAGGATGAAGATGTCATTGCTGCAGTTGTTTCTGAAGTCAATCTGGTTGAGAACAACAGTGAATGGATCGTGGACACTGGTGCATCTAAACACTTCTGTGCTAACAAGGACCTGTTTGTCAGTATGGAAGATGCAAAGGAAGGTGAACAAGTCTACATGGGAAATTCAAGCAGCTCTGAGGTACTTGGAAAGGGCAAAGTGGTTCTGAAGCTGATTTCAGGGAAGACCTTGGCTCTTCACAATGTGCTGTATGTTCCTTCTCTTCGTAGAAATTTAAATTCTGGTGCTTTGTTGAACAAAGTAGGAGTTAAGTTAGTTTTTGATGCTAATAAACTTGTGTTAACCCGTAATGGGGAGTATGTTGGAAAGGGTTACCTTAGTGGGGGCCTATTTGTTCTTGAGATTGTAACTGTTCCTTCAATGAATAAGATTTCTAATTCTTCTTATATTGTTGAGTCCTTTGAACTATGGCATAGTAGATTGGGTCATGTTGGTGCAACAAAATTGAAACAAATGAAAAGTTTAAATTTGCTCCCAAATATGTCATTAGATGGATTTGAAAAATGTGAAGTGTGTGCGGAGTCTAAATTCGTGCAGAAACCCTATAAATCTGTCATGAAGAGAGAGACCACACCACTTGAGCTAATTCATTCAGATTTAGCAGACTTTAAGAACTTGGAAAGTAGAGGCGGGAAACGCTACTATATCACCTTCATTGATGATTGTTCTAGATATAGCAGGGTGTATCTTTTGAGGACGAAGGATGAAGCTGAGTCCAAGTTTCTTGTGTATAAGGCAGAGGTAGAAAATCAGTTGGAGCGGAAAATAAAAAGAGTTCGCTCAGATAGGGGTGGAGAGTATGGCTCCGATTTCCTCAAGGACTTATGTGAAAGTGAGGGAATAATTCACGAAGTTTCGGCCCCGTATACTCCGCAGCAAAATGGTGTGGCAGAGAGGAAAAATAGGACCTTGAAGGAAATGATGAATGAAATGCTCCTAAGTTCCGGGTTGCCAGACAATTTGTGGGGTGAAGCGGTTCTATCAGCTAATTATGTATAGAACAGAGTAACTCACAAGAAGTTAGACAAGACTCCATATGAAATATGGAAGGGTTATGCTCCAAACTTGAATCACATGAAAGTGTGGGGGTGTCTAGCTAAGGTGGGCTATCCATCGTTCAAGCGCTCAACTATAGGTTCTAGGACCTATGATACAGTATTCATTGGTTATGCTGAGAATAGTGCCGCATACAGGTTTATGAGTCTGGACATCACTCTATATCTGAATCTCGTGATGCAGAGTTCTTTGAACAGGTATTTCCTTTGAAGAAAAATTTTGTTACTAACGATGTTTCTTCAGTTCCTTCATCTGCAGAGCCAGAAGATACTTCCCCTAGGATTGAAAGTGAGATTCAACCTAGGAGAAGTAAAAGGCAAAGAGTGGAGACAAGCTTTGGACCTGATTTCCTAACAGCCTTTATAGCAGAGTGCGGAAATCTAGGTGAGTTCGAAGATGATCTAGATGAGGTCATGCTGTGTCTACAGGTTCTGGATGAAGATCCGAAATCGTTTGAAGAAGCTATGAGTTCAGTGGATGCAACCTTCTGGAAGGAAGCTGTAAACAGTGAGCTTGACTCAATCATGTCAAATGGAACCTGGGAGCTTGTGGACCTGCCAAAAGGGAGCAGAGCTATTGGGTGCAAGAGGATTTTCAAGAGAAAAATGAGAACCGATGGCACCGTGGAAAGGTTCAAAGCTAGATTGGTGATAAGAGGATTCACTCAAAAGTTTGGCCTTGATTATTTTTATACTTATTCTCCGGTGACTAAAATTGCCACCATTCGTGTTTTGTTTGTTTTAGCTTCATCTTACAACTTGATTGTGCATCAGATGGATGTTAAGACAACTTTTCTAAATGGCGATTTGGAGGAGGAGATCTACATGGAGCAACCTCCGGGTTTTGTAGTTCCTGGGATGGAGAATAAGGTGTGCAGACTAAAGAAATCCTTATATGGCTTGAAACAAGCACCGAAGCAATGGTATGAAAAATTTCATAAAACTATTCTTAGTTTTGGTTTTGTTGTCAATGGTAATGATGCATGTGTGTACTCTAAGATGTTTGGTGCGCAATGTGTGATATTATGCATGTATGTTGACGACATGCTCCTGTTTGGCACAAACATGTGTGTCATAAATGAAACTAAGAAATATTTAAATTCAAAGTTCGAGATGAAGGATTTGGGAGAGGTAGATGTGATCCTTGGTGTTAAAGTTACTAAAACCAAGAAAGGGTATTTTCTGTCTCAGGCTCATTATGTGGAGAAAATTCTGAAGAACTTTAATTGTTTTGATTTGCCTCCTTTGAGAACTCCTTTTGATCCTTCTGGAGCTTTGGTGAAAAATGTGGGGGACGGTGTGTCTCAAACTGAATATGCTAAGGTGCTTGGTAGTCTGATGTTTTTGATGAATTGCACTCGCCCTGATATTGCTTTTGCTGTTAGTAGACTTAGTCGCTATACTCAATCATTGTCCTAGTGAGCAACATTGGGTTGCTTTGAGGCGTGTGCTCAGATATCTATGTGGAACCATGTCTTGGGGATTGAATTTTGTTGGTCATCCTTTGGTTCTTGAAGGGTATTGTGATGCAAATTGGGTAACGGATAGTGATGAAATAAGCTCTACAAGTGGCTATGTGTTTACCCTTAGTGGGGGTGCAGTTTCATGGAAGTCTGGTAAGCAGACATGTATAGCTAGATCAACTATGGAAGCTGAGTTCATCGTATTGGATCTTGCTACACAAGAGGCAGATTGGTTGAGAAATTTGCTTATTGATATTCCTTTGTGGGGGAAGCCGTCACCACCTGTTTCTATGCATTGTGATTCACAAGCCGCTATATGTGTTGCTAAAAATAGCGTTTACAACGGTAAGAAAAGGCACATAAGAGTCAGCCACGAGTCTGTGAGCCAGTTTATTGTGAATGGGGTTATTTCGTTGGACTATGTTCGAACAGAGAAAAACCTGGCAGACCCTTTTACTAAGGGTTTGAGTCGTAGACTAGTGGTGGAGTTATCAGCTGGTATGGGTTTAGGACCTTTGTTGTAATGACTTGAAATGGTAGCTATTCTAGCTATGTGACATGATACATTGGTTATAATAAATCAAGAACCTGTTTTGGTTATTCTGTTTCATTGCAATGAATCATGTGGATTTGTTATATGTGTATCATGTGTCTGAATCTATTACTCTATAAGAGTGGTAAGTTGATTCTGTTAGGATGAGTTTATCTCTTAATGTCATTAGTCCAGTTGTTTTCTGAGCAGGGATAGGTGGAGGTTCTTAAAGAGTTAAGACCTTTGTCCCAGTGGCTCTTAAAACAGGATAGATAATGACACCGAAAGTTGAAGGGTTGAACTTATGTTCTTAATGTTCTAGTTCCACTACATGGATTTCTTAGGTTTGCAAGGTGCTTAATTACGTTTAAGCCTGCAGGGAAAGACCTTTGAATTTGCTGGGAACGTGTGTGAGTAACACATAGGATGAACACCTACGTGAGTACGAGAGGTGGCCTCTCTCAAGGGAAGACTGAAGTATTGTTTTCCTGAAGTACTCATGAGAGCCCAAGTGTTGGCCAAGATTGGCGGAGTTGCTTAAGCTCTAAAGTCAAGGTATGTGCGTTCAAGGTCCCTTCCTCGCTCCTAGGAGTTCAAATCTTAGGATACTCACTAGGGAAGTGTTGAAAACCTTGTGCACTAATGTGTTAGTTCAAACCTTTGGATACTAGCATTTAAGTACTAAGACTTTCATTTACTGTTCAGATTTCATGTCGAAGATCCGCTCGCATTAGTGGGGGATTGTTGGAAATAGTAATGCAAACGGATGACTCACGCCCGATCGGGTGAAGGTGGTCAAGGAAAAATCGGGAACTCTCGCGCCCGATCGGGCGGGCTTCGCCCGACCGGGCGGCGGACTCAAGTTTTTGACGAGCCCGATCGGGCGGCTTCGCCCGATGGCTCGCCCGGAATGGGGATTTCAGATCGTCCGACCGGGAGCGACACTACGTCTGGAAAAACCTGATCTCGCGCCCGATCGGGCGGCAGCTCGCCCGATCGGGCCCGCCTTTTTTCCTAGGTCGGTTTGATTACGTGTTTCCTTTTCTAGGACTCATATAAATACGAGTCTTACCTTTTCGTGACATTTTTTCACTTTTCTAGCCGAAAACACAAACCTACCTTTTGAGATCTGAACAGTTCTTGAGCAATTCCACTTTTCGAGTTCGGGTGCACGGATTACGGAGAGAGTTGCGTTAATATTGGGGGGCGTGCGTCACTAGGAAACTTGTACTGGTGGTGGCATATTTCGCTTCTAAGGCAGTGGATTATTGTTCCACGGCGCGACTGTGAGTTTTGGGATCTTCAATCCAGGAAAGTTCTAATCTTTTATTGTTTGTTATTGATTTCAACAGTTATTTTACCAACACCTAGAAGTGGGAGAGATGCACTTGTTGTAGGACAAGTGATTGGAGATGTTTTGGATCCCTTCATTAGGTTTGTAAACCTAAGAGTGATTTATGAGGGTAGAGAAGTTATCAATGCTTCTGAGTTTAGGCCTTCTCAAATTGTATACCCACCAAGGGTTGTGATTCAGGGTAATGATCCTTCGGCATCATACTTCTTTACTTTGGTATCATCTTCAATTCCTAACTTTTACTATACTACTTTATTTCAACTTTATTTATTTCTTTCTTTTTATGGAAAGTCGGAATACTAGTATATAAAATGCGACCAGTATGTATGATTTAATGTTGTTCATATTTCTTTACATGTTCAATCTCGAAATTATGAAGGTCATGGTAGATCCTGATGCTCCAAGCCCTGGCAATCCGACTGAAAGAGAATACTTGCACTGGTAAGTTAGCAAAATGATACTCGGTATATATGTTAATTTCATTAGTAATAACATGCAATTGGATTTTTATCAAAAGTGGCCATCGTACATACACCCTTAAACCCTGGATTTAAATCTTTAATTTACCTTCTGCTCAGAACTAATCAGTATGTCTTGATATGTTATGAGTAAAATAAGTTTATTTAAGTTCATTAACTAAGTAATAATAATTTACTAGACACTGGCCCCCAAATAACTTCGGTGGAAGGTCCGCTTTAGGCTAGCACGCTGTGATCTGGCTAGTAATTCATGTATCACAAGTGATTTTACTTGTCTTCCGACTAGCTGGGGTATTGAGTAATCGGACGCTGCGAAACGTAAGCTGTTGTTCCGAATGATATTGGATGCATTATGTACTTCGAACATACTATTAATGCATGTAGGCATCTATCGAGTAGAATTTTACCCCACCTATATAACAAATTCACGTGAATATATTGGTATCAACTTTTTGTATGAGAGGGGTCTCATCAAACATGTTAACAACCGGGGGTATTTTTTTCCTTCTTGATGCTAGCCAAATATTGCACAACTACACAAAGTTAGCCAATTCAATCCCTAAAAAACAGCTCCATTGCTAGTTTTTAGCTCAAATTTTAAAAACATTGATAAAAAAAAATTCTCATAATTGATAAAAAATTATTTATTCAAAGTCTTGTTAGATTTGTTTCAATATTTTATAATATTAAATGTACAAGATTAAAGTTATATGTTTTCAAATTAAACATGTAAGGCTGTGAAAAGTTAAATAGAGCAATCTTTAACAAATAAATGGATTATAAATTTGTAATACCTCTCCTAACTTGGATCATCAACAAATTTATATACAAAATTAATATAAACCATTTTACAAAGCTTCACAAAGTTGATACAAGGAAATTCAAAGCCGAGTCGAGCGGCTATCCAAGCTAAGGGACATGATAATAACGGACCATCAAATTGTTTAGTTTAAGCACCTCCTCTACAACTATAATATTTAATTTAAGGGTACAACTTTATCTTTTTAATCTTCTATTAAAAGACAAGATATATGCACTAATCACATGTTTTGATTTTAAGTGCAAGATATAAACAAGAGTAAGGAAGGGTATGGTAAACATTTTGATTTAAATATATGTATTTGTTAGAATCCAACCAATTTTAAGATTATTCAGGCATAGATTACTTTTCCAGTATTGACCACCCACGTCCTATGAAACCCCCTATTCATTCCCAAACTGTTTGAGAGTGGCAGTCTGCGGATGAGGGTGATTGTGAGCGCACAAGTTAGCCGTTATATGGATGATCGATGAGACTTTGAGTAAACGACTCAATCGCCAATGAAAGTGAGTGAGAGGCTCGAAGCACCAGTTGAGGGTGAGTCAAAGCTGCATCCATGAGAATGTTTGAAGTGCCAATGAGGACGGGTGAGAAATACTAGTGAGGTCAATGAGCAATCAAAAGAAATGCCGATGAGGATGACGGTGAGTGAGAGAGTCGAAGTTGTGCCGGTAAGGATGAAGGTGAGTGAGAGACTAGAAGCGTAGTGAACGAATTGAGTGGTTGAAAAAATGGAGAATTTAGAGTATATGTACGATATAATTTATTAGTAGCGGATTAAAGGAAAAACCCCTGTTAATTAATAGTTTTATTTAAAAGAAGTTGTTATGGATTAAAAATTTAAAATCGTTGCTACAATATTACATACATGTAAAACACACTTAATTGCAGCGAATTGCAAAACCTGCAGCAAATGAATAGCAACAAATTAAAAATTTCTAATAGTGAAATCAACCCTTAGAAGATCATATTGTTTTAAACATGAATAGTACAATTAATAAATCATAGGAATACGGAATATCATACTTTACTATAAAAAAAAAAGTAACTCAATAATGATTACTTCATATAGAATCCCTAATCAGTAGGGCCGTGCACAATAGGTTAACCGTACCATTTAGCCTTAACAGTATGGTTAACCGTTATGTCGGTTACTTAAAATTTCCAACCGTAACCACGGTTACAGGTTAACCATTAACCGTTTGATAAATTTTAAACCCTGCATTACTTCCAATAGTTCCAAACATCCAACTCTAATACAAACTTAAAAATAAAGTAATAAACAATAAAATTCATGTTCTAATTAAGATTACAAATCCACAAACCAAAATATATTACAAAGTTTTAATTCGTACTAAGTTTTTTTTTAAAAGCATAATAAGTAATAACTCAAATATTAAGTGATCCTCTTCAAAATAAGACCATGGCAGCAGAATGGCAGCAAGCTTGAAGATCACATTGCATCATCAATCATCCAAAATGGAATTGGATTCATCTATCACAATTGTTGGTTGCTGGACAGTTAAATCCTTCATCCCTATAAAATTATTTTAAAGAACAAAATAGGCTTAGAAGTTAACATCAAATTTATAAAATAAGACAACTAGTAGAATCAAACAAAATCTACGGAAATTCATAAACAAAATTAACAAATAATACTACAATTAAGTAATTAACATATTCAACACACTAATTCAAAAAAATAAGCATAATTAACCATCTAATCCTACCTAGTAGTCAAGTACCCAATTTCCCCAAATTGATTTGTACACTAATTCAAAAAAAATATGCATAAATCGAAAAGAGAGAAAGAATACCTGATAGATCTGATGTTTTAGTGAGTAGGTGAAGGCTCCGGTGAAGTCTGAACTCAGTAAGTGAGGTGAAGTGAGGGACTGAAAGGAGTGAAGGGTTGAGGCTGAAGAAGTGAATTGGGAAATAAGAGTTTTTTTAGGGTTACATTATATATTTTCCCTACAAAAATTAAAATATATATATATATATATATTTACTTTAACGGTTAACCGATGGTTAACCGTTTACAAAAACTTGTAACTGTAACCGTAACCGTTAATCGCTATATTTAGCGATACGGTTAACCGTAACTGTTTAATTTAAATGGTTCGGTAAATTAACCGTTTAAATGAGCCGGTTACACTGGTTAACGATTACGGTAAACGGTTACGGTTTTTTTTGCACATACTAATCAGATTAAGTCTTATTTGCAAGGTTTTTTTTATTTATTTTTTTTAATTTAAAGATAAATAAGAAGTTAGGATAGTTTTTTCTCAAAATTTTACCCTAACTCATCAGAATATATATATATATATATATATATATATATATATATATATATATATATATATATATATATATATATATATATATAATCTTGGTGAACTTGCATAAAATGACCCAAAGAAGCAACATAATCTGCTACTCTATTACCCTCTCTATAAATATGGCACGAATCAACATAAGTGAAACTTTGAATCAGCTCCTTGATTTCTTCCATTAGTAGCTGAATTTTCTAGTCTTTCCTTGCAAAGTATTAATAATTAGCAAATTATCCCCTTCAAACTTTTGAAATATTATGGGCATGTGCCAAAAGAAGATCATTACGAAAGGTCGTAACTTCTGCAATAAGAGGAGTACTCATACCAATATTAAAAAAACGACTACAAACATTATTTCCGAAATGATCCCTTGTCTTCGTATATGTATAGAGCTAATTTTATATAAATATTATTGAAGTTAGACTTTTATGCTTAACTTGTTCTATATTGATTTGTGTAAATTGTTATTCTCTTTGACTGTGGTTTAATACCCTGATTGTTATGCAATCTACTGATGATTATTCACCTATCTCACTATTCAGGTTGGTGACTAACATCCCAGCGAATGGAAGCATCAATTTAGGTTAGTAATTATTTTTTTTGATGCTGGATTTTCTATATTTGTAAAAACATGTAATTATTTACTTTTGGTTTTGAAAATTATATGTGGCATTGCTTAGTACGTATATATATACACCTTGGTTGAATATAATACGAGTAATTATTTTGCAATCATACACCAACATCAATAACTATATACTAAAAGACACACTAGTGATAAAACGTGTCATCTCCTGATTTTTTTTTTTGGAAACCCTATTATGAGTAAATTTCTAATAAGGTTTAAAAAAGAATTAGTTAAAATGTAAATAACCTTGATGGTAGCAAAAAAATTATAGCAATAATTTATGTAGCAAAACAATTATAGCAAGAGTATGTTTATTCTTTTTTTTAACAATCTTCTCTACTTTTTATACCAGATTTAGGGTTTGTTCACATTTACTGAACTGAGCTGAATTGAACTGGACTTAATTAAGATGAAATGAGGAGATGAACTGAACTAAACTAAACTGAACTGAACTGAACTAAACTGAACTGATTGGAGCTTAACTGAACTAAAACTAAGTAAACTGAACTGAACTAAACTAAACTGAACTGATTGGAGCTTAACTGAACTAAAACTAAGTAAATGTGAACAGGCCCTTAGCCTAAAATATTCATCATCATTTTTCAAATAATATATTTCCTAAATTAAAAAATTTTAATTAACATGAAGTAAATGAAATATATTTACTAAAAAAGGTGTTTAATGTTACTCTAATTTTTTGACAATTAAAACAATGTGTGTTCAATAATTTTAATGTAAAAATTAGAAATGCTCTTTTAACTGTAACTTTGATAACTTAAAACAATGGAGTGAACGATTAATGATAATCTATCCATCTATTTATATAACTATATATTAAAGGCAAAACTAGCTAGGAATTATACATGTATTTCTTAGTTAAAAAAATTATCCACGAAAAGATTTTTAATTTTTCCCCAAAGCTTCTTAGAAAATATTTATTACTATGCAATAATATTTTCTTTCTTGGTAATTATATTCCATTTATACACATTAAGCAAAAATATTATTCATATTTATTACTATGCAATAATATTTTCCTATCTCTAACTTTGATGTAATCTATGATATTTTTTTAAATCGTGCATGTAATACTCCATCGGTTTTCTTTCATAAAATATAATTTTTTTTTTTAAATTTTGTAATTACATAATTTCATCTTATTTAATTATAAATATTTTATAATTAAATATAGTGTTAAGCTAATAATAAATAGTAAAAATTTCCGTGTATGGCACATGACCTTAAAGTACTAACAAATTCACAAAAAAAAAAAAAAAAAAATAACTATAGTATGCACCATAAAGTTATATAAACATAACAATAAGGAGCATAAAAAAGTTCATTTTTATTTTGCGTCTTGGTGAAGGTTAGTTAAGTGTTCTTATTGTTGTTTTTCCCATTTTCATAAAATGCTAGATCAATTACTTTGTTAATTTCTTTGATTATTTATGAAAACTAGTAATGATATAACAGGGCAAGAAGTCATGGCATATGAAAGCCCAAGACCGTCATTGGGGATACATAGGTATGTATTTGTGTTATTCTATCACTCGGGACTCCAAACAATCACTGCACCAGGGTGGCGTCAAAATTTCTTCACCAGAGAATTTGCTGAACTCTACAATCTCGGCATGCCGGTAGCTGCCGTGTATTTCACCTGTCAAAGAGAAGGTGGCTATAGAAGAAGACGCTTTGATTGAATAATGAACATGCAGCGTGCAATAATATGCACCTATGTAACTGTATTATCTTTAATTTCAAGAATAGTATTTTTGGCAATAGTCGCTTAATACTAGCTATCAATATGAATAATTTGGACTAGAAATAGTCGTTAGTTTCTTCAAAATATTGAAGAATGCAAGCGTGCAATAATATGCACCTATGTAACTGTATTATCTTTAATTTCAAGAATAGTATTTTTGGCAATAGTCGCTTAATACTAGCTATCAATATGAATAATTTGGACTAGAAATAGTCGTTAGTTTCTTCAAAATATTGAAGAATGCATGTATCTTTTATATTCCCTTTTGACTGTAAACGTCAGCTAAAATTAATGATCACTATAAGTATTCCTTTATATAAAAGCATATCTTTTTTTTTATGTTTATAAATAATCCGTTTATAATCTTAATCTTAATCTTAAACAATAATATTAAATGATATTGTTTCCATTTTGGTAACATTTCTAGAACTTAGCTAGATTATTTATGCTTGCCAACCATTGTTGCTGAAAAATAACACCTCCAAAAAACTAGACCTAGTACCCCAAGGCCAACTGGCCCAGGCCCATACACAAATTCCTCCTTGCATTTCCAACTCAAGGCTTGGTATTTTAGCCCACAAATGTAAACTACGCTAGCCTCCTTCCCTAATGCCATTTTTTTTTTAACTGTACATGGGGCACCTAATCAAAATTATATTTCTTACAAGAAAGGTATGTATAAATTAGTTAAAAAAAATGTCGCAAATTGGAATTATGTAGAAAATTCAAAACAACATTATATATAAGTGTTCGAAAAAGGGGGCGGGGGAATGAAGAATTGACTAGGGATGTGTTTACACTGATCTTAAAGCAATTTGAACCCCCAATATGATAGACATGGAATTCTAGTTAATAATGCTTCTTAGATTTTCCTAAGTATAGAAATCAAGTATACCATGTAATTGAAACTCTCTTAGAACAGTGAGAATAAAATAGAAAATGAAATAAAAATATTTTTTTGTCTTTATGATTGATACTTATAATGTATAAACATTTTTGCCAAGAGTCACCATTTCTAGCTCAAACCCTATAATCCACCACATAAATCCATATTAAATTGGTAGCAAGAGCCTTAAGTTATTTTAAGATTTTTTTTTTATCACGACTAGGGTTGTACATCAGTCCAAAATCGAACCGGACCTGTTGGGACCGGGACCTAAATAAACGTTTTTTGAGGAACGGAGACCGGACCTGATTCTACAAGTCCGGGTCAGGTCAAGTCCTGAACAATCAGGTTCCGGTCCGGGTTTGGACCTGAGCAGACTTGTTTCGTGTGTGTGTGTAAATAAATAATCTGTTGGAGCTCATATGGACTTGTTTTTGGTAGCATAATTTAATAATTACCAAAAATCTGAAAATATCAATAAAAAAAACTACATAAATTACAAAAAATCTCTAAGTCTCAAATATAACAAATAATTCATAAAATTACATAAAGTCTCTAAGTCTCAAATACTAGAAATACATAAATTATCCAAAGAAAATTTTGACGAGTTGCTTTCCCTTTGATGTGAGAACAACTTACATTGCAAGAATAAGAATTTGTGGTTCATGTTGATCCTAAACATATAAAACAATAGAATATAATAACAATTCGAAAAAAATACATAAATACACTATAAAATAAGTATTAATTTGTTTGTGGGGTTGGAAATCTGAAGATGATATGAGCAAGAGCACGTAGTCAAAATACCCAAAATTCAAATTGCATATAATGACTGTTGTGCCTAAATTTTCATCCTAAGTTATTATGTTTTACAGGTTGTTATGTTACTGGTTATAGGTTGATACATTGTAGGTCAAAGATAGCTACGCAGCTAATAGTCAGGTATCAAGCGATCAATGAATATTCTCAAGGAATATTCCAAGGATACTCTAAGTGGAATAAGTCAAAGAGCCTTGCCAAGGAAATAGGAACCACTCCGAGTAGCCACACCGTTGAAGAAGACTAGTTCAAACGAAAGAGGATAAGACCTCGAGAAGTGGAAGAAAAAAAAAAGGAACAACCCCTACCATCATCTCCAGATTCCAAGGGATCGCTGGAGATAGCCGTTGAAGGTCTTCTGGTTATTCTTGAGGCTATAAATAAAGATGAAATCATTGTGCAGATCATAAAAAATAATCTAGCCTTATCACTCATAGCATCCTTATCGTTTCATACCATTATTATTAATCTGTAAACCTAAATTGTAACCGATTCAACCTAAACACTTAGTGGGTTGGTGGACATAGTCACCCGCATTTTTTACCCTTATTCTTGGGGTTTTCTGCGTCATCATCTTACGTTTCTCTTCCCCTCTCCCTCTGCTCGATCCGTGCATCCCTTTTTATTCGTTTCCTAAAACCTGTTTCCGCAAATTCTATTGATTTAATCTAGTTGTTGTTATTGCAAGCTAGGTCATATTAAGCAGTCAGATTTTGACCAAAACCAGTTTGGCGCCGTCTGTGACTCTGTGGGGACACAGTTAGATAAATTTATCCGTCATTTAGTATGGTTGGAAGTCCTAGTCACAACCCAAACATGAAGAGCTAGTCGAGCAGTTACGGGAAGAATTAAGAGCTTCTCGGGAGCAGTTGCTGAAGCTCCAGGCTGAATCCCAGTCTTATCAGGCATCCTTGGAAAAGTTGAACAAGAGCTTGAATCTGTCAAGAGCAGAAAAAAGAAGAGGTTCAGAATCAATGAAATACCCCATTCTTTCTGGTCTCCACCGACGAATCTGAAGGAGAAGAAGAAAAAGAAGAGTCTCAAGACAAAGACAATCAATCCGGTGTTAACCTCAATCCTATGACTCAAGAATTATCTATTATCGAATCCCAAAACCGAAAAATGATGAAGCTCTTGACCCGGCTTCCAGGTGCTCCAAAACCTGTAGCCTACGAATCTCGTGAGAGATTCGCTGAACCCCCTTTCATGGAGGAAATTGATAAAGTACGCATTCCCATCAAGCTGAGTATCCCCTCATTATCAAAGTTGTACGATGGAACCACTGAGCCTTAAGACCATTTGGCCCAGTATAAGCAAAAAATGTGGCAATTGTCAATCCCGTGGGAAATCATCGAACCCACCATGTGCAAGTACTATCGAGAGCTTGGTAAACAAATTCTATTAGCAATTCACTACCAGCAGGGAGCTGGAAAAGTAGTGCAGTGACCTGCACTGAATCGTCAAGAAGCAGAATGAGAGGCCTGACAATATTGGGCCTGATAAAGTACGCACTGAATCGTCAAGAACTACAATCATTTGACTACCATTAAAGCCTGCTGTAAAGGTCTTAATTATTGTTCCCGGTTATATTACGAGCTAACCAGATATCCTTTTGCCTTCTTTAAAGAAGTTAGACTAGGGAAATGGTTGAAATCCGTGTGGAAGAGGATGAGAATGCCAAAAACTTGGTCGAGAGAAGGCCGGCTGGGTATTCAAGAAATCCTTATTCTAGAAATCAAAACTCTAGACCCAGGTAAAGCAGTTAGTAGCTGAGGCACATAAATGTGAATAGCGTATCAGATTCAGGAACGGGTGAAGGCTTTAGCAAGCCAGCAATACATTACCATCTAGACATCAGCTTGTATGGTTTTGATACATATATAGCAGGGGTGTGAACGCTCTAAAAGATATTGGGCAACATGTGAGGTGGCCTAGGAAGAATGATAAGCTAGAGCATCAAAATGATAAATATAGGTGGTTCAAATATCGTGGAGATCACGGGCATAGAACTGATTGCAACAGTCTCAAAAGAGATGTAGCCTGGTTGCTAAAAAAAGGCTACCTGAAAGATCTCATGGTAAAAAAGGAAAAGTACCTGAAATTAAGCGAGAAGCACTGCCAGGTCCACTAGCTTCACCTACACCGGGTGTTGTAATTAGTGCAATAGCAGGAGGATCCGGCATCAGTGGCCTGACCTATTCCTAAAATGAAAATAGCAAGAGTTAACACCTCCGATCCGCCTCTAGCATCATATCCCTCAAACCTATCCTATCAAAGAAGACAAAGTGTTAGACGAAATGAAGGTTATGTTCGATGAGAGCAGGTTCAATGAGCCAAAACATCATGATTTCTTGGTCATATCCCTCCATGTTGGTCATTGCAAAAAGAAGAGAGTACTGGTAGATAGCGGAATCTCGGCTATCATAATTTTCAAAGACGCGTTCGATCAAGTCGGTTTCAAAGAATCAAATATCATCAAAAGGTCTACATTTCTAGGTGGGTTCAATGGAGAAACTATGAATTCCTTGGGAGAAATCCAGCTGCCAACCGTGCTCAAAGGTGTCAATATGATGAACAAGTTTTATGTGATAGATTGCCTATAATGTGATAGTGGGAACTCCCTAGATCCATAAAATGAAGGCTATCTCGTCTACATATCATCAATCGCTGAATTTTCCAAGTCCGTGGGGGGTAGAATTAGTAAAAGAAGATAGAAAGCAAGCAAGAGAATGCTACTAGCTCGCTCTAAAGCCCTATGGGCCTTCAATTTAGCAATTACAGCAAAATCTAGCACCCAAGCGTCAAACCAAGCTACAATTGGATGAAGTAGTGCTGGATGAATCAAAGCCGGAGCATAAAGTTAAAATTGAAGTTGCTCTACCTGCAAATCAGAAGGAAGCTATCATCAAGAGCCTTAGAGATGATATGAATGGTGTCCTTCAAACAAGTGTATTATTCCAATAGAGGTATTAAGATAATAATTCAGTGAGATCAAGTGATCGGAATGCTTAGGTGGAGGCTGCTTCCGATCAGTAATATTAATGTATAATTAATATTACAGCCTAATCTTGACTGAACCCTTCGGTTCAAACCCAAGCAACTTACGAACTGACGCGATGAATTAATTCGGAAGGAATTAATGAGTCACTCGAGTAATTAATATTTAGACGTCGGAAATTCGGGCTTGGAGCGTCGAATCCGAGTGTCGAAAGTCGAGTAAAATTAATTAAGGA